GCAAAAAAACCCAAATTTGATTTGGTTTACATTTATTATTGTGTTGAAAGAAGAGGACAAGAAATTGAGGGGTAGTTGGGGGACATGGGAAGATTTGGTAGGAGACTTGGAGAAATGGAAATCATGCAAAGACAATATTCATGTATGAATTTCTCAAAAAAAATTTAAAAAACATAAAGCATTCAGTACCAATAAAATAATAATCCAATCCATGGATTGGTCAAATTATATGATTTGAAGAGATAGTTTGCAAATGAAGAAAAAAAATGCCTAAAAATACATGAAAAAATATTTAACATCTTTAGACACAGACAAGTTCAAACCAAAATTATATTGAGTTCCTTCTCACCCCTGGCAGAATAACTACTATAAAAAGGCAGACATTAGCTGATTGTTCTGGTACATGTCTTTAATCTCAGTGCTCAGGAGGCAAATCTTTGTGAGTTTGAGACCACTCTGGTCAGTATAGTTAATTCCAGGTTGGTCAGGGCTACATAGTGAGCCTCTATCTCAAACAAACAAACAAACAAACAAATAAATAAATAAATGCAAACACTAAATGTTGGTGAGGTAGTGAGGGAAAAACCCTTGTATACACTGTGAATATGAACATAAATTAATGCAGCCACTATACAAATCATTATAGAGATTCCTCGGAAAATTAAAATAGGAGCACCTTGTGACCAAGCTATCACACTACCAGGAATGTATTCAAAGGAATCTACATCCAAACACCAAGACATGCATTCATAGCCACACTTGTCATTTGTTTATGTAATTTGGAAAGAAAGGGAGTCTATCAACTGGTGAAAAATGGACAAGAAAATATATGGAAATAGAGCTCATTATATTAAGTGAAATATGGAGACACACATTACATATTTTCTGTCATAGGTGTGAGTAGAACAAAAAAGACAATAAAGTAGAAGTTGGTCTACTTAGGCAGAGTCTTACAGGAGGAGGAATGGAGAGAGGATGTTGGGCAGTAGAGGGTGAATATGATCAAGTACACGATACACATCTATGAATGTATTATAACAAAGCCCATTTATATTTTATATATGCCAATTAAAGCTGACCATTCAAAATGATATATAAGATATGAAAGTCATGGGGGGACTAAGAAGACGAGAAGGACAACTAGAGTGGGGAATAAAGAAGTAGAGATGATAGTGGGGGAGCTGAATATAGTCACATACATGGTACTCGTGTGTGCACATGTCATAAACCTGTCACTTTGTACAATAAATATACACTAAAAATAAAATGACCACCACATTTCTATTTGTGATTAACATTTTGCTGACAAGTTTAGCTACAAAGTTATGGAAATCTACCTTAATAACAGTATTTCATAGGACTATCACTCTTTTTGATGGGGAGAGTACTGGGGACTGTACACATGCCTGGCTAGTGCTCTGTCACTGAGCTATTCCCCAAGGTCCTGGACTATCCTCATTCCATATCTGAGTATGCCTTTTCTCCCAGCTTTTCTTTCTGTATTTCTGTTAATTGCTCCAAAAAAGTCTCTGAGCAGTTTTCACTCACCTGATAGCTGTCTTCCTTACAGCCATCCTCTAACACTTTTTCAAAGCCATGTAGAAAATGATGATATCTACGGCATATGCATATCTTCACATGCCCTGGAACAGGCTTCCCATAGGTATACCTATCACCAAAGAAGTTCACAGAGACCAAGGGTTTTCCCAAAGAAGAGTTTCACTTTCTTCCCACCCATATTCCACAGTCCCAATCTGTCACAGTACACTCTGTAGTTTCATGATGTGATGGTTTGAATGAAAATGTCCCCCATAAGCTCCAAGTGTTTGGTCATTGTGTCCCCAGGTGATGGTGCTGTTTTAGGAGGTTTTAGAAGGTGTGGCTATCCTGGAGGAAGCATGTCACTGGGGGTGGGCTTAGAGAGTCCTTAAGCCTTGCCAGATCTCCAGATGCTCTCTTGTTTCCTGTGCCTGTGTGCTAATGTGAGAGCTTAGCTTCTCCTGCTCCTGCTCCAGCCACCCCCAGCCACCATGCCTCCCTGCCATGATGGACTGTAATTCCCCTGGAACTGTAAGTGCAAATAAACTCTTTGGTCTATAAATTGCTTGGTCAGTGTTTCTACCACAGCAACAGAAAAGTGACTAATACACACGATAACAGCAAATACGGGCCATTCATACTAATGACACTTTTCTAAGTACATATATTAAGTAATTTAGCCATTTTAATAACCTTGTGGGAGACATGATTTTATTCTTTTTGTAGTTCTGAAAATTAGACTGACTAAGTCAGTTGTGACTCTTAGCTGGCAAATAATAGAGCTGAGATTAATTGGAAGCATAATAAAATGGACTGAGAAATATTCCTGGTAACAGTTCTCAGTTGCTTGCCTTTTTCCTTTCGTTTCTTTTTCAGTTCTTTCATTTATTCTTCTCTGGCTATTTATTGTAGTGACAATCAAAATGTGAGCTGAGATGTGCCTCTTCCATTCGATTTAGACACATGTGAAAATTCCTTCCTCTAGTGCAGTTTTGAATTACTGTGATCATAGATTTTAATAGAAATTTTAATTGATTTAGTATAAGATCTTTGTCAGAAACAACAATGAAAAGTCAAAGTAGAAAAGTAATATGCTTGAAGTAATAAACTTGGGTGAATGTAGCTGGACTTGGAACAAGACTGAACTCAGGTCTGTGCTCTTTCTGTGATACCATAACAGGACAGCAAACACCATATTTAGTACCTGAGTTCTCTTTACATGGGTCAATCAGTGGGTCTTATCATGTGCTTGCCTATTTCCAAAGGCAGGAATTCATTCCTGCATCAAACAATTGATTTCATCACTGGTGTCATCAGAATTAATGTAGTTCGTTTCTTTATATCACCAACTTATACAGTGAGTGATCAAACAATAATAGATGCAGGGAGGTAATTATAAAGGGGATGTGCTGGTTGGTTTCTGCCAACTTGACACAAACCTAGACATACCTGGGGAGAGGGGATCGCAAATGAGGAACTGCATCCATCAGATTGGCTGGTGAGTATGTCTGTGGAGCATTTTCTTGATTGCTAACTCCTGGAGGAGAGCCAAGCCCACTGTGGGCAGTGCCACCCCTGGCCTTCCTTTATAAGAAAGACAGCTGAGCAAGCCAGAGGGAACAAGGCAGTTAGCAGCTTTCCTCTCTGGTTCCTGCTTCTACTCCTCTTTGAGTTCCTGCCCTGACTTCCTGCAATGATGAACTGTAAGCAGTAAACTGAAATAAACCCTTTCCTCCTCAAATTGCATTTGGTCACGGTGTTTATGCCAAACTAGGACAGGGACATAAAAATAAATGCATGCAGTAGGAAGAACATTCTAGAGGAGGGAGAACATACATAGGCCTCAGGTATTTGTACATATTTTATGGTCCAGCAGTGAGACATTATCACAGGCGTCTTTAGTGTTAAACTACATTTTTTATGAATAAAAGAATTAAAAACAAACAACTCACTTTCCACACACAATCACATTCATTTTTTCATCCTCTGTAGTGATGACCTTTGGAACCTTTACTTGTACTTCAAATTTGGGGAGCACTATTGGGAGAGAGAAGAGAAACGCAATAGATGTGACTTCCAGTGGCCTAAATGATCCACTGTACCCAGAAATGGTGACTTCATATTATCAGTGTAGTTCACCAAACGTTAAAAAAAATTGAATGGTCATGGGTTATTTCAGACCTCACAGATCACAGAGACCTCCACTTAAATTAAAAAATATCTAAGTTGGGGAAAATAACTTGCTTCTGAAAATTCCTGAACTTTCCTGAAGTTCTGTGCTGCTAGACGGATGGTCCTGACCAGAGTTAGATGAAGCCCAGCCTCACCCCCAGAGACTCCATTTGTTCTATGGCATTCATAATGGAGCAACCAGAAGCTTACAACCCCCCACTGCACTTCCAATTTTCCCGATCCATACCAAATTCCTCCACAGTGAAGGAGTGTTCCGTCTTCTCTCCCGATTGTTTTAGTATCACTATCTTGTAGGAGCCCTGAATGGGCTCTGATGACAGGCTGAAGGACAGTTGCTTAAGCCCATGCTCTGTGTTGATATCCTGCCATTGCATAATGCGATTCGTTTTCGGATCCTGAATATGTGAGATGGGTTGTAAACTTTCCACGTAAATAAAGACTCAAGTTCAATGCCACATTTGAGAAGACCGCTGTATGAGTGATGGAAGCATTTGAGAGCTTGCTATTATTTTTCTTGGGCTAGGAGAAATAGAGGTAGTGCGGGCTCTAACGACTCAGTTGCCTGGAATGTGGGAAAGTTTCTGATTCACAGTGTGTCCTTCTATAGTATATGTTTTAGCATTCCAAAGCCAATTTCTTTTCACTGACTTGAGTTATTTTGAATATGAAATGCTTTATGTTACTTACCTCAATGTAAAGCAGAGGAAACTGAAACAAAAGAGAAAATAATGTTAGTTTATAACTCTTACATATATAGCAAATTCAGTCTATTTAAAGAATAAGCCTTACTATGGACATTTCAGCCAGGAATTGATGAGCTTAATATTCAAATAATGAATTCAACTGCAACCCAACTGATCACCAAAGAGGATTCTAAATGTAAGTTCTAGAACTGGCTGGGCAATACAAACCACACTGATAAAAAATATTGAGAAATTTCCTAAGCTTTATGAATAAGGTCTCTCTGATATGCCGTGAGACCCATCCTGAGCCATTAGAGAATGGCCATTATACAATTTATTGCTCAAACCAGGAATAATTTTAATATGAAATGGGGTGACTACTTATAAACATATCCATTCGACATTTATAGCTTCTGGTTTTCCTGGGCAAGCAAGAATGCATGTTTATCCTACACAAGCTATCTACTTCCCATTGCACATTTAATGAGTGTGGCTACAAAGAGATTACTGTGGGTATTCAGTATACAGCTTCTGAGCTTACTACAGCAGAGAAATTGGTGCACAACTCTCACCCTACAGACATAAGAAGAAATGGCTCAATAGCTGATCTTGCTTCAAAAAAACTCCTAAGGCAAGGGCTACCCTTTCAGACATTTTACAGACAAAGAAATGCTATTTCTGTGATTCACCAGATGAGGCCTACACAGTAGAGACAGCCAACAAAGGGGTAAAATTGGATATGCTGAAAGAAAACACAGACATTTCTAGTAGTTGAGAAGGAAGCAAGAAATCACTGTACAAGAGGCTTTTCTTTTTTTGCCAAGTCTAAGGAACTTTTAGTCATGGCTACTGAAATATATATAATGACAATGAAAATGTGGTACATATACACCATGAAATTTTACTCAGGTAGGGATGGGAGATATGAGAGGGGAGGATGGAGGGTTAACGAAAAACTAAGGGTGTATGAAAAAAACTATATGGAAACTTACTAATTTATAAGCCAATTAAAAATATATTACAAAAAGAGAGAGAAAAGTGAGGGAGATATTCTGCATTTGTAGATAATGTTCCTGAAAGCCAATACTCCAGATACCCTAGTTCCAGGTGTAAAATACCTCCTTATGAGTTGTTGGTCAAGGAGGCCCTAGAGTCCTACAACAAAACAGGCTCTTGTCATTCTTTTCAATTCTTCCCTGTAACTCTATTATGAAAGACAGCAATACCTTAGCTGTAAAGCATAAAGAAATCAAGCTGGAAATTAGCTGGAAGATTACTCCCTGCTGAATAATTTTCACAGTGCCAGAAGGTGGGTTATTGGCTGCTATAGGAAAGAAGACATCCAACTGTAAATCCTATGATCTATATACCTAAATGCCAGGCAAGATGTGCCCACTGGTGCAATAGTGACACAACTGTTATGGGGGTAATCAACAGCGCTCCGGTTGGATGTAGGTCTGTTCTGCAAACTCATTCAAAACCCATGACTGAGGAGGTCTTAGGCCCTAGCAGTGAACTTAATTCAGTTGTTGTTTAGCTAAATTGTCATGGTACCAATCTACCTTCTAAATAGGTACGTATGTTTGTACTCATAGACAAATGCTACAGCTACCTTTGACCAGAGAAACCTCTCTTTGCAGTGAACAGTGGTGAATGCAGAGATGCACGGCTGCTCAAGGTATTGAGAATAAGTAATAACTGGCTGCTCAGCCCCAAGCAGGACATTTATAGCACTCCTTCTAAAACTCAGGGAACATCACAGAAGAGGGAGTGGAAAGAATGAAAGAACCAGATGATGCTCTGTGGGTGTCTGCTGTGAAATTCTGTAGCTTGGGCATGGCACAGTCAATACATTCATGACCTCACAGCATCTGTGACTGCCTGAAACAGATGTACACAAGACTGGGCATGCCAACAGTCATTCATAGATCTGGGAGAAGCTTACCAGATCCTACCCTTCCCTGATGAATTATTGGTCTCTGATAGATTCTGGTGAGGGTCATATATTTTCTTCCATTGTGTGCCCACTGAGGAGCCCTCTTCGCTCCTGTAGATAGTTCCAAACCTTTGGTTCCACAGATGATCCTCATAAAATTTAGTGAGTCTCAAAACAAACAACAATAAAAACCGTAAAGTCATGGCTGTTGGAAAATAAATCTCAGGTCCTCATGCCTGTATGGCATGCATTTACTGACTGAGTCATCTTGCTACCCTGTTGTCACATTCTTTTTTTAAAAAATATTTTACTTATTGTTTATTATTTTTTGTGTATGAGTGTATTGCCTGCATGTATGTAAGTGCACCATGTTGTGTAAGGCCCTTGGAGGTCAGAAGAGGGTGTCGGATCCCCTTGGAACTGGAGTTACAGACAGTTGTTAGCTGCCATGTAGGTGCTGGGAACTGAACCTGGGTCCTCTGAAAGGGCAGCCAGCGCTTTTAACCACTGAGCCATCTCTCCAGGCCCCATTATCACAGTCTTAAACATGTGTATTCTTCACTAAAATCAGATGAGTACTAATACCACAATTTTATAAATAGCAGAAATGAGGCATCAGAGTGTTGAGAAAGTTGACCAAAACAGCACAGGTTGAAGATGATAGAAAAAGGCTATAATATCAAGATGCCTGTTGGGGGACCCTGCTGCTAAGGTTGCAGTCCACCATGTCCGGATAGCTCTAAGGAGCTCAGCGCTATATGGAAGGACTCCCTTTCTCAGCGGGGAGCCTCCTGTTCTCTGCCTGACTTACCTGGAAAGTGCCTCCAAGCACGGATGCCTGACCTTATTTGGAACATGACCTTGGGCATAGTTACCTACAATAAAACTGCCCCCAGGTTTTTTCTATATGATAATGAGGCATTGGCCTATAGCCAGATGATAGGATCCCCCTACCACATGTAAATAAAGCATACTATGAGCACCTATCAGCTGAAGCTTTGGCTGCTGCCTCCACACTGTATTTTTCCCTGACCCCCACTGAATAAATGGAGCTGTATCACTGAATCTGCCTCCCCGGAAGGTCTTTTCTGTCAGTGCTCACTGGCCCTCCTGACCTTGTTTGTTGCTTCTGCTCCCTTTGTTCTCATGGGTTGGTGGCCAATGGCCCACAAGGGGAGGGAGAGACCCACAGATGTCTGACTCTGGAGCCCACACTTTTCATTTAAAATCTTACGAGATCATTGTAATTGCAATCCTAAGACTAATAAACTAAAAACAATGTAAATGATTAATAGTTCTCTAAGTGACCTAAATTGGGGAGGATATCAAGCAAGTATCAAAAATTAATTCAAAGCTGGGGCTGGAGAGAGCTCAGTGGTTGTGAGCATGCAATGCTCCAGAAGACCTGAGTTGGGTTTCCAGCATCCACATCATGTGGCTGAGAACCTCTGCTAACTCCAGCTCCATGGGGATCAAATTTCTCTGGCCTCTGTGGGCATCTACACTATTTTATTTTCATGCAGTCAAAATTTATTTTCAGGCCTAAAAATATGCCGACTAGTCAAAATGGTACTATAATTTCTTAGAATACATAAAAAGCACAGTTTTTGAAGTCTAGATTAACTAACCCTTAAACTATACACATACATTTCTAAAAGCAATGGTTGTGTAATAAAATGTAAGGTGACAACATCGATGAACTTTCATACACTGAGAACGCAATCAGCAGCAAGCTATTCAGACTGAAATACACAAATCTGTTTTTATACTGGCTATGTGTGTTTTTAACTCTGCTTCATAAATCCTTGATAACTGCAGCTTCTTTTGAGTATGAGAGTTACAGCATTAATGATTATATTTTCAAAACTAGGAATGTAGCTCCGTGCTATAGCAATTGCCTAGCATTCATAAGGCCCTGGGTTCCATCTCCACCACACATAAATACATACATATGATACATAATGTGTATCTTTAAAATGATCTTCTATGCCTACCCTCCCACCAGGCAGTGCCTCCCCATCAGCAACTCTGTTGCTATAAAGTGAACAATGCTTTAATGTGTTCCATGACCACAAAGCAATCTGTAATCCAATTTCCTATCCATAATTTTAACTTTCTGCCAATATAAACAAAAGAACACAGCAGCCAAAGTTATAGTAAGAGGAAAACTGCAATGTTTAAAGATTATTTGACTATAACTTTCAATATTTCTCAAGATACAAGTACTCTTTATATTAGTAATAAATTATACTTATTATACAGGGCTACACAGGCTTAGACTTGCTCTAGAACATAGGACCACTCTAAAAAAAAATCTTTCTACTTTGTAGTTTAATTAGCTATTAAATAATTTCCCTAAGGGGAAAACAACCATTTTATCTTTAAGAAAATGGTATAAACAGGGGCTGGAGAAATGACTCAGAGTTTAAGATCATTGATTGCTCTTGTAGAGGACTCAGGTTCAATTCCTCACACTCACATGGCAGCTAAGAACCATCCATAACTCCAGTTCCAGGGGATCCGACGCCCTCTTCTGACCTCTGAGGGCACTGAACAACACAAGCTCGTTTACATACATGCAGGCAATACACTCATATACATGAAAGAAAAAGAAAGAAAGAAAGAAAGAAAGAAAGAAAGAAAGAAAGAAAGAAAGAAGAAAGAAAGATCTTTAAAAGATTTTTAAAGATTTGGCATATACAAATGAATGGAATATGTCCACTTCAATCCTGAGAAAACCTGTAGATAAAGTTTGTTGTTTTGTTTTTCCTAAGAATGCAGTGCAGATGTGCATCCAACTGCTCATACAGGGATGGAACAGAGTGGACAGACAGATGCAGTCTGTGAAGTGCACAGTTGTAGAACATTCCAAATGGGAATAATATCAATCATTTAAAGGAAAAACTCAACCAAAGTAAAATGTTAAAGAACAAGGCTATTTGTTCTTTACAAAGGCTTAGTAACAACACAAAATGACATATTTATATAATAAAAGATGGAAAAGGAATGGGAATATAGTTCAGGATAGAGCACTTGCCTGGATTAAATGAAATGTTCAGTACTGTGCAGAAACAAACAAAGCCCTGGTAGGAGGGGGCAACCTAGGCCACTTCAAATTGATGTAATGCTTCGCAAACACACAGAGAGAGATACACTACAATGAACTGACCTCACAGGGAAATGAGAGAGACAAAGCTCATAGAAGCTCATGTCTGTAAGAAGTGTTAGTGCTCAAAATATCAAAAATCCAGTCTGGATTTTCATGTTCAGGTGAGTTCTGTGTTGACACACTTCGCGTTAAAGCTTCTGTTGAGCAGTGTGGGCTTTCCACACATATAACCTGTCCTTCCCTTTACCATGAAAACTGCAGTTCTCAGGCCCACCAGTGACTTGATTTCCCGCATATTTATGTACATTTAATTTCCACTCTAAGACACTTATTATCTTCCTACTGATTTATTTTAATCAGCGTATTACGTAAAAGAACCTTGATTTTTACATGAATCCTTTTTAGTACTACAGCACAATGGGTTTAATTTAACAGGGCATAATAGGGTGATTACTTCATATTGTTTAAACTAAGTCACAGCCACAGAAGAATGTTTGACTAAAATGCAGCCAGGATGAGACTGCAGTTATGAACAGGAAAATATTAGGAAACAGTGAAGGAATAAATAAGGTAATTTTTCATCGATGGTCATTCATAATTTTGCCTTTAAAAATTTGGAAGAAATAGTCATTTTTGGGGGTTTCTAATGTTCTAATAAATCTAGTATTTTCTTTTAGCTTCTTCAATATCACCTCGAATCACTGAAATAAGTGACTCTTAAAAAACAAAGTTCTTGGCCAGGTGTGGTGGCTTATACCTTTAATCCTATCACTCAGGAGACAGAGGCAGGTAAATCTCTGTGAATTTAAGGCCAGTCTGATCTACATAGTGAGTTACAGGCCAGCTGGGTCTACAGGGAGACCCTGTCTCAAAAAGACCGAAAGAAAAAAGAGAAAGTTTTGTTCTGGTCTGAGATATCCAATAACAGCCACATAGAGAATTTCCCCATAGAAGCCCTCTTTGAAGGTGTGGTGGGAGTTTCCATGCCCTTCACATTCTTGAGGTGTGGGTTCCACACCTCACTACCATCACCATCTCCATCTCCACTTCCCACACTGACCTAACTATAATATATAAAAGACATTACCTGAGAGTGAAAAGACAGAGAAACAGTATTTCAAGCAAATAGAACGAGGACACAGATAAGTACTGTTTTTCTAATTATACGACAAAACATACTTCAAACAAAATCTAGTCAGAAGAAATAAAAAGGGCCACTTTATACTGATCAACATGCTATGAATGATGAATGGGTCCTGGAAAAATATCAAGAAGGAAATCAGAGCCAGAACTTGATGATGAGACTCTGTTGCTGAATACAGAACACAGAGAGCAAGCTGGAACTGAGATGGAAACGTCTACTTCCATGGTGCTGGAAGATGCCATGCAGGATGCTTTGGGAGCAAGGTTCACAGCAGTGTTACCTAGCTGTGAATCTTGCACATACAATATTGACCTGCCAGGGAAGACATGCCAACTGGTGCAATAGTGACATGATGGTGATAACCAAGTACTTTCTCACTGGACTTGAGGCCTACTGCACAAGAGACAACCCAAGCATGGCACTGTAAACCTGGTCAAGAGCCCATGGCCAGCGAGACTTTAGGCCTGTCAGAATAATCTGCTAATACTGTTCTGCTGAGTAAAAGGTTAAACTGCCTTTTAAAACTCTTGTTATAACCATGGGTTGGTGCAGCTTTCACTCTTTGTTATAGAAGCTTCTGATAACTTTGGGCGGTAGTTAATATAGAGAGTCATAATTAGGCAAATTGACAAGTCTGAATGATAGTAGAGTGCTCAACCCACAAAAAGACATTATATCCAACTCTTAAAGGCTCAGGGAATATCACAGAAGAGGTGGTGGAAAGAACATAAGAGCCAGAGGATAAGGAGGTATGCCACACAAAGATCTCTTCTGGACATGACAGCCCATGCACTCATGAATTCATCACAGCTGTGGTTATCTGCACAAGACCTGAACAAGCTGGGCCCCATCAACATTTCACCATGGATCTGGGAGATGCTGAGACCCCTCCCTGAGGGACTGTGGGAAGTTAGTGATTGGTGGAGAAGAGATTGTCATTTTCTTCAGTGAAACTGAAAAGCAGCTCATGCTTCAATAAATAAACTCCCACACATGCTAATGTAAGCAACCCTAATCAAACTCAGTGACACACACAAAAGACAGAACTTCTTGGAAAGAATAAGGTTTTCAGTGCTAGAGTACGGGAGAATGAATAATAAGAACGAAAATTGCTAAAATTTAATATACACCTGTATGAAATTGTCAAAGAAGTAAGAACAAGGAAAAATGGGAAAAGAATAGTATCTCCTGATTCCACATTTGCACCTTTCTAACCCTTGTGTTGTTCCTTGTAAGAGCGACTCTAAGAATGCTTCTTATCTCTTGTTTTCATTTCTTTCTTATTTTCTTGTGTGATTCCAGCAACCTGCCTTCGACCTTACTCTCCACTGAACATGTTGGAGGGACATCCCCTCACCTTCCCCTGCTGCAACCACTGTCACTCCTCCATTCTCACCCTGACCTGAGGGCAGTGCTGGAGGCAGCTGGGCACTTGCTGCTCCAGGAAACAGGGTTTCTATTGGCTTCCAGAATGCCAGGCCTTCATCTGTTTTTCTATGATTTCTCATTGTGTGCTTCATCTCTCAACTTATGAATTAATTAGCACTTTAGAACAGAGGACTTTTCTATTCCACTCTTTTTAAGTGTCATGTCTTCCAAATATCATCCATTACACTTTTAAATACTGCTTACTTGTTTACACCATTTCATGTTCCTCCTTTGCATCTTTGAAAGAAGAGGGTAGAAACAGTAGTCTTTTGTGGAAATAACTTTCACAGTTTGAATTTAAAAGATCACAAAGGAAGAGAAGAGATGCCTGTTTACTTAATAGACTGTAAAAAGTATCAATTGACATTTGATCTAAGCAAAATTTCTATCAAATTCCTAAGTATACTTCCTTAATATCATCCTGAAGGTCTTAGCCTACAAATCCAGCAAGGAAAATTATGTTATAAAAAATGTGAGTGGTTCCCCACCTCATTTCTCCTCCTAGCAGGGGCACAGGCATATTTCTTGTCTTGGCACCCCAGACCTCTGGACTGACCTCTTAGGCCAGACACCCCACCGCTTCCTGATCCTTTGCAGCCAGACCAACCCAATTCCTTCCTCAACTCCTCAGGAGCCCTTAGGCCACATCCAGTCCTCACCTACCTTTGCATCTCTGGGTGGCCCAGCCCCCCAGCTTCCTGGGGTCAGCAGCTTTCCTGGACGGATCCAGTCCTTAGGAGAAAACCTGAGAGCATCTGATTCTCTTCCAACTTGGGCCTCTGTGGGAACTCCTGAGCAGGAAGAGGAAATCAATTTGGCCCCTCCAAAATAAAATCAGAAGAGAGAACCCGAAGCCTAGACCAACCAGCTTTTCATGCCTAAGAAGTAAACCACAAAGGCACACAAAATTTACAAAAAGAAGCAGACTTAACCTAACAAAGAAAGGCTTGGGTCTCATACAAGAATCAGAAACTACAAAAGAAATCCACATGTCAAAGTCACAGTGAAAAACTAATAACATGAGAAACCCAAATAATATATCCTTAAGTACCAACAGCCCTGTAGAGGAGTACAATGAGAACACCCTAGGGATAACACAGGACGTGGATTTGAAAATAAAAATTATAAACGTGATAAAAGAATTCAGTGAATTTAAAGAACACACACAAAAAAAGAAATCAAAGAACTGAAAGAAGATAGGGATAAACTGCTGAATGAATTCAGAAAAGAGTTAGAACTATTGAAGAATACTCAGGCTGAAATGAAGGAGGAAGTGAAACACTCAGTAAGTCAATTAGACACTACAGGAGAAAGCCTCATCAAAAGGATGAATGAAATGGAAAACAGAATATCAAGACTGGAAGATAAAGTGGGTGAATTAGACCACTCAAGGAAAGATTGTGAAAAAATTTAAAAAACACAAGAATGGAATATGCAAGAATTGTGTGACACCATAAAAAAAACAAACTTACAAATCATAGGCATACAGAGAGGAG